TGTTGTTTGATCACTTTAAAATGGTTTTTTTAATTAATTAATTCATGTAGTATTCTCTCGTTAAATAAAGACTAGAATTGAATAATTAAATTGTTGTTTTATCACCTAAGTCTGGGCGAATATTGTTTATTTTATTTTTTTCACGAATTTAATTAAAAAAAATAGCGACATTCGTTGCAGTGTATACTTTTTGTGATTAATGCTTGTAAATAAAATAAACTAACTTAGTTTTTAGGAATTGCATTGCATATATTATTTGGTAATAAAATTGTTAAAAAGGAAGAGCTTGTAGAGGCCGCACTAGGGCTAGGATTGCGATTCTCAAAGAGAACGTTTTTCTAGTACCCTCGCTCCCGAACTCATTTCTGGTTTAGTAGACCAATTTGGGCATGGGAAAACTTATGATTCATACTAATTATCCCTTGAACACTACTTGGGAGAAAGGTATGAACGAGGTTTATGAGTTTTCCTAAAACTCATTGGCGACTCTCTATTGGTTTCTTATAAAAAAAAAAGGTAATGGCAAACTCAATTTTAATTTAAGGTCTCCCAAACAGTCAGAAATTCAAATCCTAACACACCTTAAAAAAGTGTAAAGTCCTAGGCTTTTAAAGGGTTATGGGCATAGAGGAAGTGAGATCCCCAACGACGGGCTACCCTCCTCACACAATGAATCAAAAAAAATTGTTCATGTTACTATTCACCTACCCCACCTCAATTTATCTTTTACTAAAAATTAAAATACATACATAATTTACAATATATTAATCTCATGTGATATGTAATTGATTATTATTACCGTTATTATTATTGAAATTAGTTACACTTAGTATTAGGAAATTACGATTAGCGTTATTTGCGTGCAAAATTAATTAGCTACAACTATTGTAATTAGCGTTGTTAATTGTTTGCGATTAGCACAATTAGCGTTATTAATTAATTCGTTAATTTAAATGCGAATACAAATTTTTTTATTAATTGAAAATTTGAAAAGAAAAAAAAAAACCACCCAAGTGCATTAGACATAACACATGCTTAACCGTTAATAGAATTGAAATCTAATTGTTATTTTTCTCGTTACGCCTAAATTTTCTCCAAATGTGTTCAACTAAATCGTGTTTTAATTGCAAGTGAGCTTGTTGATCTTCAATCTCTGTTCTTCGTTGTAAGTATATGTTGATGTCTACCACATGTCCACATGCTCATTATGATACTCGAAAGCATCCTCGTTGGAACCACTTTGGCTCTTAATGATGTGAAACGTGTCGGAGTTGTTCAAATGCGTATCTTGGCCATCTTCAACGATCATATTGTGCAATATGATGCATGATAACATAATCTTGTGAAGTATATATTTAAACATCCCAAGCAAGAGACGATTTCTGAATTATAGCAAATCAAGATTGTAGAACTCCAAAAGTTCGCTCAACATCTTTCCTCGTTGCTTCTTGATGTTGTGCAAACAATTTATGTTTCTGAGTCTGCGGACTAGTGATAGACTTCACAGAAGTAGCCCACTTCGGATAAATAACGTCAGTAAGGTAATACCCCTTGTTGTATTAATAACCATTAACAACAAAGCTCACAGGAGGAGTACGCCCCTCCAACACATCCTCAAACACAGGAGATTGGTGTAGCACGTTTAAGTCATTGTAAGTACCCGGTATCCCGAAAAAAAATGTCAAATCCACAAGTCTCGATCACCAACAACCTCTAGTATAAGAGTGGCTACCCCTTTTCTGCCTGGATATTCTCCTTTTCATGCCGTCGGACAATTTTTCCACTCCTAATGCATACATTCAATGCTTTCAATCATGCCTGGAAATCCACGCTCCTCTCCGATTCATAATAGCCTTTCCATATCATTACCATTTGGTCCCTCAAGTACTGATCACCGAATTGGTTGACGACACCTTCGGTAAACTATTCTAATGCCAACTTCGCAGTACTTTCGCTTATTCTTATGTACTCGTCATAAGCGTCAGCGGCTAAACCGTAAGACAACTGCCTAATTGCTGCAGCGCACTTTTGTAGTGCAGACAAGCCTAGCCTATTACTACTACTACTATTACTACTATTACTATTACTATTACTATTATTAGTACTAGTAATACTAGTAGTACTAGTACTATTATTACTACTTGTAGGGAATTTTTCAACTCATCTTTGAGCCATACTGTGGTTCATGCTTTTAGGCATGGCGGCATTCCAAGGAAAAGAAGCTAGAGATAAAAGAGTCGCCAACAAGTTTTAGGAACTTTTAAACCGTTCACGGGTGTGAAGGTTATAGCCCTTTAACGATCACGGAGATCGCTAACCCCATAGTGGTCCAGAACCATGACTGGATATTTGAGGATGATGGTACGAACCCAACTTAAAAGATATTGAACCCGCCCTAAATAGGCCTCTGCTTAATTCTTATGATATTCATGTGCGTTTTTCGATCAACATACATATATCAAATTAATCCTAAATCTGTTTAATCTATGTTGGTTGATTATTAATGCACAATTAAATCTATTATTGGTGATCACTTGAATTAAAATCATATTATCCTAAATTCAAATTATTAGTTATCTTATTAGGCGTGATTTCAAGTACAGATTCCCTTTAAACCTGCAAAAAGGGGCGTGAACAAGCAATAACAATAAATCATGAATAATCAAGCAACATATAATTAATATAACAATCATCATCATGACAACATCATCAAAACATTGTTGGAAAGCTCTTTTCAAACTCCATCCAACTAAACAATAATTGGACTGAGATTATGGACCAAAATAATCTGGTTTGGACGTTTTTATAATTGGACACGAAGCAAATGATTTTAGGGACACGAAATGAATTATTTTGGGTTTAAAGACACGAAATAATTGATTTTGGATTTAAAACATTTTAGGAAAGGATAGGGACATGGTCAAGGCTTAAGGGAACTGCACGAGACTATTCAACTCTTTACCGAACTCGTTAATCAAAGACGTGAAAGGTACTCATCACTGGGTTTGGTTTTTGAGGAAACACAATCAGGTGTCTACACTACTATTACTAGTACTAGTAATACTATTACTACTATTACTAGTACTAGTATTACTATCTACTATTACTATTATTATTATTATTATTATTATTATTATTATTTATTATTATTAAAATCATAATTATTGTTATTATTATTATTACTATTATTATTATTATTACCGCATTGTTATTATTATTATTATTATTATTAATATTATTATTATTATTATTATTATTATTATTATTAACAAGCGCATACTGATGAGTCATATTTATATAGGATTTATAGGCACGTTTATGCTACTTTTATAGTTGCTTTTTAGGTCTTTTTGTTGTTTTTTAGGTCGCAAATGTATAAGTTGTTTGTTTTGTACTCTATTACGCTATGTTTGTGTTTTTCTTAATGTTTCAGGTGATTTTATAGTCATTTGGACGCTTTCGAAGTGTTTGGAGTTGATTCGGATGATAGTTGGATGGAAGCCGATGAATTGAGTTTATTAACTAAAGATCCCATGTTCGTGGATGTTGATTTTGATTATAGTGTGCATGGAAAATGGACATAGCATTCACAAGGATCACTATGTGCCTTTCCGAATCGAATTTGAGTTGAAAACGAAGTTAAATGATGATGAACGATATGTCAAAACTGATCTTTGTTCACTCTTTTGACCATAACTTGAGTTCTACGAATCGGATTGAAGTGATTCAAGTTGTAATGGAAACTAGACTTGAAGAGCTTTCCAACAATAGGTCACACGTCTATATGCAATCTTTGCATCAGAAGTTACAAGCCTGTGAAGTCAACGGTACGCCCAGCAGCGAGTGAGCGAGAGCTCGCGGGCTAGCTCGCATATGCTGAGAGCAACAGCAGCCCTGAGCGAGAGCTCACTCGCCAAGGAGCTATAGCTCGCTCCTGCACTCCTTCACGCAAGCACCGAGCGATAGCTCGCTCACTAGTGAGCTATAGCTCGCTGGTGCAGCGATGCCTTATTGAAGTCCAACAACGTGCCAACATATATGGACCATCATGGCTGCTCGTTAAGGCTTGGTTCTTGGGTCGGATGGCCATCTTTATCGAGCATCGTCGCGCCATGTCATCTTCTATCGTCAAATTGTTTGACAACTTGTGTAATTTATATTTTCTTATTTATTTTCTTTGTTTATTTTTAGATTAGAAATTAAGGAATTATAAATACTAAGGAGATTTATTTTCTCCTTATGCTTTTTATTATTGTTTTACGTTCGTTTTCTTTTCTCTCTAGCCATAGTTTCTCTTGGGCAATTCGATGGATTTTTCCATGGATTGCTCTTGAGTTTGTTACATTAATTCTTAGAGGTATTTTATTTCTCTCTTTTAATTATGATTTCTTTATTAGATTTAGATTTAATTATTTATTTCATGCTTGACTAGTTTATTTCTAGGGTTTGGGAATCCATGTTTATACTATGAATCTTGATTGATGTTATTGATATTTTGATTGTTCATATCTCTAATTAATAGTGTTATATTGTTAATTTTGCAACCTGATCAATTGTTTGATTAATTATTGTTAATAAGATTTTGAATCGAAAGATCTTACTTTTAGAGGCTTACCTACAATTAGTAATTTTGATTATGTTAGCGACAGAACTACATATGTTGAATTGAGAGCGTTAAGACCCAACCGTAGGCTTAGCAATTGCTCTAGACACTTGATTAATTGAATTGTTGATGGTATTTTGATAGATTTAGAACTATAAACATGGTGAACCATAACCCTAGGTCTTTTTATTATTTTATTCCTATTTTAATTTACACTACTTTTCTATCTCAACATTGTGACATTGTTTAGTTCCTCCAAATTCTTGGAGGTTAGATTATATAGTCATCTCTTTGTGGATTCGACCCTACTTACCCTACTACATTGTTAGTTGGTTTTGTTAGGAAATTATTTTTGACAGGTGTACGACAACCTATCACATACCATTGGTTAGGTGAATGAAAACATAAATAGATGTGTACCATCTTTAACATATCTAAATAGTAGAAAGATAAAAGACAAGAGTTTAACATCTTTAAATTATTACAAGCACATATCTAAATTAGAACATAATTAGATAAGAGTTTAACATCTTGGTTAACTAACCATCTACTTCCATATGATCTACATTGTCATCATCTTCATTGCCGCTTTCATCTTCATTGTCATCACCTTCATTGTCGCTTTATGTTCGATTAGCCCTCCAAATTCGGCGTGCTATACGATGTAGGTCGCACTAAGGTGCAAACATAGTTGAATCTGCTACTCCTTGATTTGTATCATGTTAAATGATTGGTATGCCAAGCGTATGCATCCGAATAAAATTATGTAGTGTGCAAGTGGCTACAATGATTGGCATTTGACTCTTTAGTGACACTTGTGGCATGTTATCTAATATACTCCACATTTTCTTCAACTGTCCAAACGAACATTCCAGCTTCATTCTTAACGATGAATGTAGGTTATTAAAATGTTTCTTTTAATCCTCTAGGTGCTGATTTTCTAAATTTAGGTATATGTACTCTTACTCCCCCGATGTACGGCGACATATATCCAAGAGTATTTGGATATGCCGAGTCCACCAAGTAATATTTTCTAGAAATATATAGATGTTAGTATATTTATACAAAATAAATAAATAAAATATATATTTAATACATAATAGAGGAATTAGAGTCTACCCGGAAGTGGATGGGAAAATTAAATTTTAAATCGCCTAAACTGTCTTTCCACACTATGGTATCATGAACACTTCCTTCCCAACCATAATCTCATATACTAGCTCCCAATTGAATCTACTTGGTTTATTAGTATTATAACAAACCTTCTTTGATCATTTTTTTAGTCAAATAAACAATTGACCTTTTTTTTGGAATAATTAACCATATCTAGCTTTAGCCTACTGATTTAGCTCTAACTTTAGTCAAATTAGGATGAAAAATAAAAATCCCAAAAGTGTGAAATAAATAAATTGCCATACAGTTGACACCCATATTGCATTCACCATTTCACCTTGATATTTTAGCCTTTTTTTAATTATCAATATTCTGACAATTTAATTAAACAAGGGGGTGGTGTTAAGTCGGGGGTGGTGTTAAATCGACGGTGGTGTTCATTCATTGATACAAGTTCACACTGAAGCCGTTCACTCCTACTACTTAATTTGATTTATTCATTCAATTCACTTATTCATTCATTATACATTATACATACAAATATCATATTATACATACAATTATTAAAACAACATATACTCTTATCAATTTTTCTGGGAATCTGATTTTGACAATTATTAAAGAAAATTCATACAAAAGTCATATTCATTCAATTTATAAAAATCAAATTCAATTTATAAAAATCAGATTCATACAAAAATCAAATTAATACAAAAATCATAAACCCTAACTCCTTAATTTGACAGATAAATAACAAATAATCAATTTCAAGCAACATCCAAACTAATTTTATAGCTTAAATCATATAAACAACTAATTTAAGCAAAGAATCAACCCAACAAGTCACGAAGAATAAGAAATCTAAAACTTTAAAATCAATATTTAAGTATGAAAGTTTGAAATTCTGTTACCTGAAATTGAGAGGATGGATTGCCGGCTGAAGTCCGGCGGCTGGAAGGGCGGCGGGTCGGCAGGCGGCTGCAGTTCTGGGTGACAGACTTTGAATTGAACCTGCTTGTAGGCTTGTAGCTGTTGATATTATGTAGTACCAAATTAATTTATTTTTTTTCCAACTTTAAGAAAAGTGTATGGGAAATTGGGGATATTAATGTGAATAGTTCTTTGCCAACATTTTACCACAAAATTAGCTGTTGGGTATAGGGATGACAGATTTTATGAATTTTTTGAGTTTTTTTTTTTTTTTTTTTTTTTTTATAACGTTAGAAAATGTGTTAAATAATATAAACTATTAATTACTATCATAAAATATTAGTTATTATTATCAATTGATATTATATATTCATTATTATTATTATTATTATTAAATATTAATTATTATTATTATTATTATTATTATATTATTATTATTATCTTTTATTACTGTATTAGTTTTTTTTTTTGAAAGATCTTATAATATTAGTTACTAGATGGAAGCCAATGCAATGCACGATTTTTTCATTTAAGATTTTTAATTATTTGATTTATAGTATTTAATAATTTCAGACAAAATTACAAAATTTTAATGTATTTTTTTTTTACTATAATTTATAATGAATTTATTAAATATAAATATATTGTAAATATGGTATTTTTTCCGTTATATAAAATCTTTAATGTGAAATGATAATTTTTTTAAAAATTTAAATCCTAAATCATTATTCATTGTTTTACAATATCTTTTATTTTGATAGAATTACCAGCCTCGTCCACAACCAACCTACTAGATCAATGGATAAATTGAACCGTGAAATTTTTTTAATTTAATTATAATTAACGAACATCTAAGATTTTTAATTATTTGATTTATTGTTTATCATTTAAATATTTTTTAGTATTTTTTTTTGGATTTCTTATACTCGTAGTGTTGAATTAATAAATTTATCTTTTCCTATATTTTTACTTTATTTTTTTTCATTAAAAAAATTTAATTCGTGGATTATAATCTACGTGGCATTAAAATTTTAGATATATCAAATCTAATCCGTTACTTTTATCTAGGTGGCGACATAATTTTTTCTTTCAAAAATAAAATGCAAATCTTTCTTCTTGCTCTCCAAAAATGCCTACTTTATATTTTATATATATATATATATATATATATATATATATATATATATATATATATATATATATATATAAAAGATTATTATTAAATACCAGTACTAATTATTATTATTAAATATAGGGAAATTATCAATGAGACCCTCCAGGTTTTGACTTCTATCAATGATACACATCATTAAACTTTCATTATCACCGGTACATCTAAACTTTTCCCTAAATACCTACCGTGACCTTAACCGTTAACTAAACGTTAATGAGGCTCTGTTGTCAGCGTTTTAAAGGTTAGGAGGGTAAAAATACTGCATTGCCCCTCTCATTTAATTTCCCTCCAAATTTCCCTTCCATTTTCCCCTCCTTTTTTTTTGTGAAATTTCCCCTACTTATACACCTTCCCTTCCTGTTTGCATTCCCCTTTTCCATTTACGCTCTTCTTTTCTTTTTGCTTTCATTTTTTTCTTCTTTGGAAAATCAATGGCTTCATCCGGCAGGGCTTCATCTTCAAGCAATAGAAATGGAAGAGGTGATTGGTTTAAAGTCATGAATTGCAACTGCCAACCTCCAAGATCTGCAGACTTTAGGTTTTCTAACTCTACAGCTAATCCTAGAAGGCCTTATTATAAATGCAGGTTATGTGAATTCTTCATGTGGGTGACTGAAGATCAAATTGTAAGGGACATAGGAGGGAGGCAAGGTTCCATGGCAGAAGCAGTGTCTGTACAAGCATTATGGGTAGAATTTGCAGAGTTTATGTACAAGACGGATGAATTTGCTGATTTTGTGTATTTGGTTGTGAAATTGGTTGTGGTGATGTATTTGGTGTTGTTGATTGTTGTTTTGAAATAGTTGCCTTTAAGTTGTTAGTACTAAATAAATTAACTAAGTTGTAGTTGGTGTTTTACTTTGAAATAAATGAAAGTGGTGTATTTTGGTATAATCTTGCAAGTTCTCCACTTAATTGTACTTTTTTAGTGCACAAAAATAATAGCAATTAAGTATTGAAACTTATTTCATACAAAAACTCATATATATCAATCTAGCAAGTAAGTAATGCTGCATTACTATACAAAAACTCATAGCAAGTACTGCTGCCAATTTAGTACTAAGTTCAATAATGAAATAAAACAAGTTCAATAGTACTTAAAGCTTATAAAACCTGTTCAAAAACCTACATAAGTTTGTTAAAAGTAAATGAAACACCTATGATATGATATAAGTTTAGATTGTGACAAGTCTTGTGGTTGACTTGCCAATTGTGATGATGAGAGCTCTGTTGCAGATGCTGCAGCTTTAGACTGAGTTGTAGTTTTCTTTGCAGCATTTGATTGATCCCTCACTTTTGGGTTTCTAACAACCATGGCCTGAATTGACTTAAGTTCCTTTCCAGTCAAACCCCCTTTGCAAGTTCTAGCATTGTGCCCTAAATTCCCACAGTTGCTGCATTTAATTGTTCTAGACCTCTTCCGTAGTTAGTGTTCACCCTCCTCTCTGTTCCTGCTTCTACTTGGCCTACCAACACCTCTCTTCATCTTTGGTGGATGAATGTGAGGGGGGTGCTTAGCATCAACAAGTGGTCACTGACTTGAATCAGGAACAGGGTTTATAACATAGTTATAAACTTGCTTGTAGGTTCTTGCAGTATACCAGGAGCTTACATAATTGTGAGGATCAACCTTAGCATGGAGCATTGCTCTCACTGCATGTCTGCAGGGGATACCAGAGAGTAGCCAAGCTCCACATGAGCAAATTTGGTGTTGAGACTTGGAGGAAACAGGGACTTCCCCTCATGTATCTCATACTCTCCTGGACTTGACTGAAAAGCTCTGCAGGTAGAGGTTGCTTTGCTAATTTCCCTGACCAGCTTTGCAATTTTGGGGCATAAATCGTTATCCTCCCAACTTTGTGCTCTCTCATGCCTTGAAGCAATCCTGACCATATAAACTCTTTTCATACCTGCCAATTATGCGAATTACAATTATTAAACACAAAATCAATTGATCTTTTATGAAAAGTAATAATGAGCCAAATGTAGAAATATTACCTTTAAGCAGGGTTAAGACAGGTCTGCACCTGTCAGCACCTAGTGTAGAGTTAAAACTCTCAACAAAATTAGAGGTGTTTGAGTCATTGCACACATTTGGATCGAACTTATGTTTGCTCCATTTTGACTGATCTCCTAAATCAGCAAACCAAGTCATAACATCATCTCCTCCTTCCTTTTGCAACTTTTCCATTGCTTTTCTGAAGGTAAACTAATTTGTTGCATTGCATGCCCTCTAGAACAAAGTATACATCAAAGGACCTGGGAATTCTTTTTTGTAATTCCTGCTCAAATGTCTGCAGCAATACCTCCTTTTTGCATCAGGCCATACTTGTGTCAAAGCAAGATCAACTTCCTGTTGGTGCAAGCCACAAAATACTCTGGGTTTAGTACTAAAAACTTATGTACAGAAAAGCTAATTTCAACAGGTAAGAAATGTATACCTTTTTTCTGTCAGATATAATTGTCCAATGTTGTCTGCTTGACTATGTTGTAAAGATGCCAGAAGAAATAAGCCCAACTTTCTTTGTCTTCAGCTTTCACTATGGCATATGCTATTGGATAAATTTCATTGTTGCCATCTAATGCAACTGTAGACAACAGAACACTACCATAGTTGCCCTTCAAATGTGCCCCATCAACCCCAATCAAAGGCCTGCAACCTCCCAGAAAACCCTTCCATTGTCTAGCAAAACTTATGAAAATACTTGAGAACAGATTGACCCTAGGAATGCTTTCACTGAGTTCCCAAGCTACAAATGCCTTTGACTCAGGATTAGTTAAGCATATCATGTCAGCATACCTTCGCATAAGAGAGTAAGACTCATCATGACCACCAAACAATTTTTCAATCACACACCTCTTCAGCCTGTACAATGAAGCTTGTTTCATATATATTCCAAACCTCTGAAATAGGAGTTCATTCAACGCTTTGCCTGGAATGTCTGGATCAGCCCTAATATCTTCCATCACCTTAGGAGCAGCCCACTTAACAGTACAAATAGGGTTGTAGGTTTCCAAACCCCTACAATTATGAACATCTGACCATATTTTTTTTATTGCCCATGTCTTACCATCAACTAACCTACTGGCATGTAATCTCCACTCACAACACTGTGCATAAAATGTCACAGTGTATCTCTTATTGTCTGCAGCAATAACATGTAAAGCAAAACCTTCCTGCACTGCATAATCTTTCAAAGTTTCCCTTAAATGAGCCTTGTCTATGAAAATCATCCAGGGTCTAAGTACAATCTTCCCAAATTTCACCTTTTCATACATTTCACCATGCCCATACAGCTGCTGAAAGTAGTCATCATCATTTATAAAACCAGACCAAAAACCCTGCTCCCAATTGTCTTCTATGTGGGGAACCTCTCCCATCTCAAACAACTCATCTTCTGGTACATCACCATCAGGGATGACTTCACCATCTGAATCTTCATCAGATACACCACCAATATCATCATAATCCCCATCATCACTGTCATCATAATCCCCATCATCACTCTCATCACAACCCCCATCATCACTGTCATCATAACCCCCATCACCACCAGAGTCACTAACAAAATTGACTCTTCTTCTAGCATTTGGTTCACTGCTTTTCTCAACCTGATTTGGCTTAGCACTGACTCTAACCTTAGCACCAGTCCAAATGCCCTTCCGAATTTGTGTACTCTTAGGAATTTTTCTAGAAAAAAGCAAGGGGTTAGTGGTTGGATTTAGACCTCTGGTGTTTGGACTAGATGAAAAAATGTCAGTAGGTTTCTTGGTAAGAACTAGTGTATTAAAAACAGTGTGTGGTGACATGGGAGATGGGGGTGACTTCTCACCGCCAGAACATATGGCTTTTGCCTTACCCTTGCCCTTTGCTGTACCACCAGAAGAACCAGCTACTTCCTTACCCTTACCCTTGCCTTTTGCTGTACCACCAGAAGAACAAGCTACTTCCTTACCCTTACCCTTAACCTTCTCCATGTACTTCTCAAACTCCTTCCTACCCTTAGTGTAATCTTTTGCAGACTGGTTAGCACTATTCAGTTCAAACTCCTCATGTAAATAAGTGAAGGTAGCATATGGGTCATAGTTTAAAATCCTACTGTCAAGCTCTTCTAATGAGGGGTTAATAGGAGATTCAGGAGTTGTTGCTTGAGGAGTTGATTGGTATGTTAGTCTCAATCTCCTCCTAGGTTGTAGCTTGCTCCTTCCATAATTAGAAGGGTGTGGAAGTGGAGTAACAGGGTTTGCATCATCAGCAGAAGGGTTAGAAGCTTGGTCAAAAGGATTGGCAGCTTGGTCATTAAGAGGTGGTGGTACATTTTCAGGTGGTGGTTGATTAAGAGAGGTGGTATATTTTCAGGTGGTGGTTGATTAAGAGGAGGTGGTACATTTTTAGGTGGTGGTTGATTAAGAGGAGGTGGTTCATGTAAAGCTTGGTTGGCTTGTTCATCAGCTATTTTTTCCCCCTAAACTCAGACACTAAATCATTCATGAAAGTTGAATTTACAGCAGTCCCAACCAAAATCTCATAAATATCAGCATCAGGGAAGGTCCTAAACATCCTAATTATCCCACCATCATCATCTATAGGCCAATGTTTGCCTTTATAAGCATAAGCAAAAATAGGGTTCAATAAAACTATTCCCTTTTTTTGTAATCTATCTTCAAATTCTATCATCAAATCCATGAGGTTGCAAGTAATAGGATCAACTTCAATGTCAACATTATGCACCTTATACTTAAATCTCAACACAACCTTGTCACTCATTCTGCAAAATCAGATTAAACTAATTTAAACCTATGTTCAACATGCAAACACAATTACACAAAAACACGCAAACATGACCATATAGAATTATATATCTAAAAAAATCTAGCTCGCAAACATGATCATATGGAAATCGAGAATAATTCAGAGCAAAATCCAACAACAATTACAAATTGTACCCATAACCAACAAATTACACAAGTATACATACATTAACTTAAACCTAACAATTTAAACCAAAAAAATCCAAAATTCCAGAGAGAAATAAGCACTAACCTTTTAAAATCCACAAAGTATCGCTAAATCTCTAAGGATTTTGCTTCACTCCAGCGTCAATTAGGGTCTTACAGAAAAAGAAGAACAGGGGAGAGAGTAAAGAAGATGAACGATCAAATTTTTTGTATTTAATGTTGTTGGTTGCGCTTGGAGAGAGGGTTAATGCATGGGGGGGCATTTTAGTCAAGCCAAGTCAGACCAACACAAAGCCTCATTACCGTTTATTTAACGGTTAAGGTCACGGTAGGTATTTAGGGAAAAATTTAGGTGTACCGGTGATAATGAAAGTTTAATGACATATATATTGATAAAAGTCAAAACCTGGAGGGTATCATTAGCAAAGCAGAGCAGATCTCAGCAGAGTAACAACTCAAAAGAACGGCGTCTGTGGAAATTATTACTCTGTATAAGGTTTACGAAAATCAGGCAGTCCTCTAATTCAATCGTCTCCGAACTTGTCTTGATTTTAGATTTTTAGTCGAATCATTCAAATTCAACATCTTTCTCTTTCAATTCAACTAGCTAAATTTCACATTCACTCTCCTATAAACCCTAATATCTCCCCTAATTCACAACTCAAAATTCAATTCTCTGAAACCCTAGAATTTCTCACATGGCGTCCAAGAAGAAAGAACCCGAGGTTTTCAATTTGCTGAATTTATACCAAGATGACGACGACGAAGAGGAAGACGAAGACGTCGAAAAGGAGAGAGAATCTGAATCTCAACCAAGAGAAGAATTGCGAGGTTCGAACAACAATGAAGACGAAGATATGAAGCTGAATGATGAAGTTGGCGCGTCTAATGCAGTTTCTACTACTACTACGACCTCTACTACTACACGATTCACCTCTAATTCGACAATGAAATGGAGCAGTTTAAAGCCGCCAACGCCGGTTCAGGCTCAGAGCTCTGTGCTGGATTCGGATGTGTCGCGGCAGAGGAGAGAGAAGCCGACAATTGTTGATTATGCGCATGATGATGTTGCTATGTCTCCTGAGGTATGATATAGTTCTATATTTTTGTTTTGTTTTTTGAATTTGGTTGTGAAATTTGTTTATGATGTCAATTTGGTGGGAGTTAGGATTATTCAATCGTCTGCAATTCGAATAGCCTGTGATTCGAATGCAGAGGGTGCTCTTATAGTGAGGATGGTGATGAGGAAAGTGTTAATTAGTTTATTAGTATTATAGATGAAGTAAGAAGTTGAGGATGATTTGGTGCATAAGATTCTAATTAATATGAATGTTTGATTCTTATGTTGTTATGGTTAATGAATGAGTTGCAGTGGTTTTTTGATTTCAGGATGGAGAGATATTAGGCACGAGTGCTGGTCGAGTCACGTACGGTGAAGAGCTCACGATTACTCATGGTATGGAGTGTGTATTTGGCAAGTTTTAGTAACATAACTTAAGCCTTATAGTTGTTTCCTGCTTAAAATCTGTTAGGTTGCAACTAGAATGCTAAAGTAGTCTTTTTAATGAGCAAGAAATATTGCAGATTTTCATTTATTTATTTATTTTTTATCTTTACAAATAGTAACATGATGGTACTTTTGATATTTGAAATGTGAAGGGATGGAGTGTGTATGATTTGTTTAGTATAAAAACATGTATGATGTATCCAAATAATTGACTCTATATGTTTTGTGCTTTGGTGCAGATATTCAACAGAGGACAATTGTAACTAATGTACAGATCATGACATCAAATAATCCGGTTGACTTTCCTCAGTTGTCTGCTCACGTAGATGTTTTACAACTTGATCATAGTGTGACGAAAGAATCAGAAGCTATGGTTGGGGAAGGTGTCAATCTCACTGGGGAGGACGGAATTGGTTCTGACCCATTACAAAAATTTCTGCGACCACCGCCAGAAGATGTGTGTTCAGATGAATTACAGGTCAGTATCTACTTCTACTAGGCCCCATAACATGTTCAATCTCATGTATAAGTTGTATTTTTTGCTTTTTAAAAAACTATTCATCATATATGAGTCTTGACAATATAACTGGGTTGCAAACATTAATGTTGGGTCCATTTTGGCAGCTTGAAATTGTACTTCCAAGCATTAAAAGACACCTGATTAATTTAAATAGATTGTCTCCAAAGTAACTTTTCTTAGAGAGGTAAGGGGCGGCCTGAAGGGAGCACGAGTATGTGGTAATGGCCCTAATGGGTAGGGAGGATACTTTATTGATCATGGTGAGAATTGAGCAGCATTCTTGCTTGTGGTGGATTGGAGAAGCATTGGCTGTGCTTCTTTGATTCTTATTTCTGTCGAGATGGGCCTTTTTGAAATTATAATTGATAAATTAATTTTGACATGGGTTTTATGGATCATATCTGATGCATAAACAAAAGCACCAATCAGGCTTGTCTGCTTACATGGTGCAAGAAGTTCAAAGCTTCAAACAAAGAACAGTAAATTCTAATTGCATTAGACTATACTTTGGAAAAATGTTTTCCTGTGGGTCTCTTGAAAACAGTAGGAGTCTAATGCTTGTTTATGTTCATATATCCATAGTTGGGTCTAATTTTTCGTTGTGTAATTTAGATACGCTCTACGTCTCTACGTCAACCCAGTCACTAAGAAGTTGAAAATTCCAATCATAATCTGCTATTTTTGGGTTAGGTTAACTTTTTCCAAGTCTAATTGTAATTATCTCTAATGTGCTCAAGTGTTAGCCAAGGATCCTGTTCTGCTTTCCAAAGGTTTATGTTAAGTCTTTTGTTTTTGCAGGAGAAGATCAATAGGTTTCTTGCACTGAAGAGGCAAGGAAAAAGCTTCAATGTAGAGGTTCGCAATAGAAAAGACTATCGAAACCCTGATTTCTTACGCCATGCTGTGAGGTATCAAGATATTGATGAGATAGGGTCATGCTTTAGTAGAGATGTATTTGACCCACATGGCTATGACGAGAGCGACTACTTTGATGCAATAGGTCGTTAACAATCTCTTAGAGCATATCTTTTTGCATCTGTCTTGCATGTAATTGTAGGTTTTTTTCGCTTTTTTTTTTTTTTTTTTTTTTTTTTTTTTTTTTTTTTTGCATTTTCTTGATTATATATGTGATGAAATTTTAGATGCAAGCCAGGCAACTTCTCCGTTTTGGCAATATTGAACATATACTTGTAATGAAATGTTTCAAGGATTCAAGTTTCGGATTGATGTGCATCTGGGTTCAGTGATCCATCTGTGTTTTATACATATGTATAAAATTGTACATGATATCTTGAGTGCTGTATTTTTTGGTGATATGCCTTATAGCCCTCCTTTTGTGCATTAATGATACTTTGTTTTGGTTTTTATTAATTGCATTCGCTTGTCACTTATCAAAAGGGAATTAAAAGGCTTAAACCAAATGCTGTTACTGTAAGAAATGCTAATATTGAAGTTCAGGGATATATCTAGGTCTCTTTTTTTTGTCATATCAGCTGGATATGATTAGCTCCTTTTAGATTCTGATATACTACTATGTGTTAGCGTCAATGTTTTTAATCTCTTCCAACTCTAGAAAACTCATTTTTGAAATTGTTTTGTTTGCTATTAATTTTGGATGATATCTATGCTTGAAATGCTGTAAAACTGGGGTTTATCATTTTGGAACATGTTTTTGTTAAATGCTTCTAAACTGAAATTGTTTTGTTAAGATTGCTGTGCAGTTAGAGTCAAGTCCTTTTTTTTTTTTTGGCAGTACTTGTTTCTGCTATTGGTAGATAAGCTATACAGTACATGATATCTTGAGAGCTTTTTTTTTTTTTGAGGTAGGGTGCACTGGCCTTCCTGTTAAGTGGTACTTCCCTGGTTTTTATTTGAAAAATCCTCATATCATCGAAAAAACCCAACCATTGATTAAACTGTTGTTCCTGTTTGTAATTCTCATTTCTAAGTATGGAAAATTTGCAAGTTTCCTTTGTTATTTAGTTTTTAGTCAGCTAGATACATTGTAGCTTCTTTGTAGAATGATGTGATATGCAATGGTTATAAATCTTCCCCTTCTCCCACCTTTACAAGCCTGCAATTACTACCTATGCTGCCATGTCCATAATACCCATGTGCTTATTCCCTATTTTCTGACAACAGAAGCTGATATGAAGCGTGAGATGGAAAGAAAGGAGCAAGAGAGGAAGAAAAATCAGAAGGTTGACTTTGTTTCTGGGGGAACACAAGCTGGAATGGTTTCTACCTCACAAAAAGTTATGCCTAGTCCAGGTGCTCTTTTAGTGCGTTATAACAAATGTGTTCGCTTATACTTCCTTTATTTCTGAATACATCATTCTGACTTTTTACCTTATACATATGCTAAACTAGACCACATTTTAATATTAATATGTGAATAACTGTTGTTATTTTAATTGTTGTGGTTTTATCTTAATTTACATTTTCAAATCATCAATCTATTTATAGTTGTTTTTCTTTCCCTTCCCCGAATATTTGATTGAAGTTATTAATGGTCAACATTGTGTGTTGGCATGCATGAAAATCAAACTTATGCAAGTATTGAGAAATAGATGAAGTCAAATACTTGATCTGTTCGCTGATCTGTTCACCAATATGTTTTATGCATTATATAATTGTTTCTTGTAATTTCTAAGCTGGAATTGACATTGTGTCCTTGCTAATGGTGGTCTCCAGGAGTTACCAATCTGCCTTCTTCCGGATCGCAGTCAGGTTCAGCTGACATGTTGACACGGGAGGGTCGACAAAACAAGAAATCAAAATGGGACAAGGTTTCATGCAATCTATAGTCTATAATTTAGTAGATACTTCTGTCTGGAAGTTTACTGAGTTGTTCTTAAATGGTTGGTTGGTTTTAGGTGGATGGCGATAGAAGGAATGTGACGGGCAGTGGGCAGGAGTCTTTATCTGCGATTGGAGCACATGCAGCACTCCTTTCTGCTGCTAATGCTGGAGCTGGATATGCTGCTTTTGCGTGAGTTTGCCTATACTGCTTGTCATTCATTCACTGATGTGCATGGTTCAGTGTTTCTAGATTTTTTAGGCCTCATAGTGCATTACAGATTTGTGCTTCAACTGATTTCAAAATCGAATCTCTTAAATCCTGATATAAATATAGTAGTTTGGCTGTTTAGACACTATAAACATCTTCGTCATGATAGAAGTACTCGCAAAGTAGGATCTTGAATATATCTTCAAGGCTTTGAGTTCCAAGGAGGTGAGCGAGGCGCTAGGTTAGGCCAATGAAGGTGTGGAAATCTAAATGTGTTTACACGTCCAATATGACTATGACATGGAAAGAAAAAGACATAATATGCCTGACACGATAGATTATATCAAGTTATGACAAGTTTTTTTGCAAATTTCCAACAAAGTGTTTTGCTATACAGAGTTACAGACTATCAAACTATCAATCAATCAATCAATCAATCAATCAAGCCTTAATCCCATAAGTGGGGTTGGCTACATGAACCAAATTTGATTATTCCGTGTGGTCATCCACAAGATATATTGGTTGCCAGAATAGGGAAACAATTATAGAAGTAGTAATTAAACATTAATTATTCTTCCTGCATTTTTTAGTGATTACATCATGTGCAGTTGATGCTTAACAATGCACAGACAGTTTGATTTTTTAGTTTTCTTTTAGCAAAATCATAAAAGATTTTACAAATTATGGTTAAGGGAGAGTTGGCGACTAATTTAGAAGTCAAATTGAGTCAACTGATAAATATTGGAGGAGGAATTTTTAATTCTTTCAACAAAAATTATGGTTTATTATTGTCAATAAATGTCATGGGATGTGACAAAGTTTTACACTGGCTGTCACTGGCCTACCAAAACCCTCCTCCTTTATCCAGACTTGGGATTAAGGCTTTGATTGATTGTCAATGAATCTCGAATCTTGTTTTTGGAAGAAATATCACTTATACTACCCGGGTCTTACTGATTTTTTCCATTTTTATTTTGGGTTTTATAAAACTTATTCCTATACCGTTAGGTTAGTTGGTGATATTCATACAATCCCTTTTCCTTATACTTTCTTACCACAAAAAAAGGTTAATGTTGACTCTTTTAAGCACACTTTATTATGTTTGTTAAAAGTCAATGTGGACAAATAGTGGGATTGAGGAACTACGAGTATATGAAGAAAAAGTACTCTACCTGTTTCTGGGCTGTTAGTTTCTGAAACGTTTTGAAAAAAATAAAATAAAAGTCAGGCTTTAAAATGTTTCTAAGCTTCATATAGTGTAAATACTATGTGAGAGGTGTTTGAACTTTGGTGTTCAAGAATTATTTTGCTATTTTGGGTGAGGTATATTCCATTGACTGGAAAATGATGCAGCGTCCTTGTGGAGGGACTCGGACACCTACGAACCTATGGTTTATTGGTGGTCCATACCCTCCTGGCAATACTGATCCCTATATTTTCTATATCTTAACATCACAACGTAGTTTCTACAATTTATCATGGATAATGAAAATTCTATATTTCTATCAATAATGGCATATCAAACAAGGTATTAATAGTGTGCTTAGTATTATGCTTGTGTTGAGAAATCAAGTTTGTTTTTTTTTGAAAGCTGTTGAGGAATCAAGTATATACGGAACAATCCCTAATTTAGTGGCACATGCTGGGTTCATGATCATTACTCTCTCTCTCTCTCTGTTTTTTTTTTTTTTTTTTTTTTTTTTGGGGGGGGGGGGTAAAATCTTTCATTTTGGAAGTGAATAGCTTTGCTAGGTGCATCTCAAATCATCCTTAATGTCTGCCATTTTTATGCTGGTGATTGGTGATAACCTGGAGAATAAGTTAATCGACACCCTGTGACCTGGCTCTTATGTGAACGAGTTAATAGAAGCTGACAAAATAGAAGTCTGCAGTTTTTTTGATGGATTATATAAATATTTAATTGACAGTTGCTTGGATTGTGTATATGCTCGTTTTGACATCAAATGATTGAAGTGATAATTTTGTCAAGGTATTACTGCAATCTGTTGGTAGTGGCACATTTCTTTAACTTAAGAGATTGAACAAGAATGAGAATGTATCCTGTGATGTGCTGTATAGGCTTTTAAGACTGATTGATAAAGGCTTCCTAAATCCCATCAAAGTGAGTGTGGTAGGTATCAATATGGATGAGGATTGGGTATTAAATGGCTGTGTTAGTCTCTGGCTGTCTGTTAGACGCTTATGAGATTAAGTTATATTAAGGTATACTTTTAGGTCTCCAAAGTGTGATAGTTACCTAAATTTGTGGTAAAAATGTTATGTAGGTATGGCTCTTGATAGTCCTTGTGGCTCTTGCTGTGATGATTGTATCATAGAGTATAAGCCATAGAATATTGATCCTTTGTCACAGGTGCTCTGAATTCTGGCTCTTTTTGGAGTTCCAACAGATCCATGGTAGGAAAACACATGTGATGTTTAGTTATTTACCTATTAAGGGTTTTTGTTGAAGCCTGGTAAATGAAATCTCCAAGAGGCTTTGTCATTAATCATCTATCATCTGTAGCATGCTGATCATCTTTTTCTTTGGGGTTATTTCTGGTAGTCCTAGAAAAGTAGGATAAAGTGCTGGGCTTAATTCACAATGCACGACTGCACGTATAAACTCTCCTGGATGGAATATCTCTGCTCCAGTGCTTTGTGGACCCTCTTTAGTCTACTCGCCTAAAAGGATCAAAGTTAAAAATAGGTCTCATGAGTATAATTTGATATTGCACTGTTCAAGTTTTCATGTGGCTTAATCTATATTTTTCTTAAAGTTATGCATCTGGTATAGCAGTATAGCACTGTGTTTTACACTTTTACCGTTAGTCAAATAATTATTATATCAAGGCTTCTAGTCGAATAACAGTAGAATATTGAAGTCCTTGTGTTCACCTGATATGAAGACATTGAATTTTATGCCAGCTGTAGATTTGAAGATGGTTTTCGTATAGTACGAGTGATTTGCTGGGCTGACCATGGTTTGACTGTATTCTTTGTTTACTGACATTGACTCCTGGTACCTTGGGCTAATATCTGACCCTCACAAAATTTCAGGCAACAAAAACGTCGGGAAGCAGAGGAGAGAAGAACAAGTGATAGGAAGGCAGAGAGGAGAACATGAATCCTTTGTTTTTCTGGCTATAATTTTAGCGACTAACAAGAACATCAGAAAAGAGCAAGGAGATTGTTTGCAATCCAATGTTATGAATCTGTCGACTGTTGTGCATCGGTGAAAACTCAGCATGATGGTAATGACAGATAAGCTTCTAGGTGGTCTAGCACTCTAGGATTGTTGGTTATCATGGTACTGAGGAGGCTTGCAAGAATATCCCGTTAGGTGAACTACCTGAAACTAATGGTATTTTTACTTTCAGTATCTGAAATTGACCCATTGGTTTGTGTGAATCTTGGAAAGCGAATTACCTAGAAAATGGCCAAATTATAATTTGTTTTATAGGTTGTCCTTGATATGATATATCTGGCAAGAAGAAATGAGGTATATTAAGCCATTGTGCCATTATTTTTTTCCCCCGGCAAGCACGTGTTTCTGAGCTGCTTGTATATACAAATTATGTATTTCCTGTTTGAATTTTTGAGAGTGGGCAAAGCCCCTTGTCACTTTATAAGTGCTTTTAGCTGTAATATGAATGATTGCGCAATGCTTAGTGGATGAAACACATTACAAATGAAAGCACATTGGCACAAGAATGCCTTATCCTAATCTTGTAGCATCATGTACAAATTAGAACAGGAAAGTAGATCATGACTCTCAGATTCAATTGAAATTGTGAGATCTGTGCTACACTCCTTGCTTACCACATCATCTTCCAAAATAAAATCTTCAGAAGAGTGTCACTCCGTAAGTCTCAACACCCTTGTAAATTTAAGTTTGGAATAATCTCCATGGAAGAGTTAAAGTTTTACGAGAACTACGAGTTATCATCTCATCTAAAGCTCGACTAAATGGAAAACACTTGCGGCTTGTTGCTTAAATATGGAGGGTGGTTCTATTTTAACTACAGGGCTTGAATAGTTTGGAAACTTGTTCAACCTCTGGTGATGCATGATAAATTGATAATGACCCTATCTGGTCCTGTATTGTTTGGCTTGAATCAATATTTTACGAAGTCCTCCCATTTTCTAAAGAAAACCAGTCAAGTTCCCCAATTGAACGTCAGATGTGCCTGGTGTGTAAAATTGATTTACGGCGATTTCATCAAGTGTCGCTGAGTTTTTCACAAATTCACCAAATGCTATAAAGTTTTCACAAATTCACCAAATGCTATCAAGCTTTTAAAAAATTCACCAAATGCTATTAATTACTAATGGCCGTTAACTCCGTTAGTCATTAGGATTAAATCATAACACGTGTCATGATATGATTGGTTCATTTTAAGTATTTATTTTAATTTATAAAATAACATTTTTTCTCAATTTCGTGATGAAAATTGCTCGGGTAAAGTTTTTGGGGTCATTTTGACTCTTTACGGGTTCAAATTAAGCTCGGAATTGGTAAAAAAAAAAATATCGTAAATGGCCCGTTTTGTGTGTCCAAAAATATCTCGTTTAGCGTGTCGTTATTTTTTAACCATGAAAATTGATCGGGTAAGGTTTTGGGGGTCATTTTAACCCTTTACGAATTCAAATTAAGCTCGAAATTGGCAAAAAAAAAGTAAATGCCCCGTTTTGCAATTTTTACGATAAAAAAATTACGATCTTAACATGCAAAATAAGGCATTTACATTTTTTTTTTGCCAATTCTGAGCTTATTTTGGATCCATAAAGGACCCAAATGACCGCCAAAACATTACCTGAACAATTTACATAGTTAAAAACGACACGCAAATCGAGATATTTCTCGACACACAAAACGAGGCATTTACGGTTTTTTTTTTTTTTTTTTTGCCAATTTTGAGCTTAATTTGCACCCTTTAAGAGTCAATATAACCACCAAAATCTTACCCAATCAATTTTCATGGTTAAAAAATAACGGCGTGCTAATTGAGATAATTTTCGATACACAAAATGGGGCATTTACTTTTTTTTTTTTTTTTTCCCAATTCCGAGCTTAATTTGAATCTATATAGGGTCAAAATGACCCCAAAACTTTACTCAAGCAATTTTTGTCACAAAGATCGAAAAAAATGTTATTTTTATTAATTAAAATAAATAATGAAAATGAATAACTAATCATATCATGACACGTATCATGATTTAATCCTAATGACTAACGAAATTAACAGCCGTTAGTCATTAATGATATTCGGTGAATTTTTAAAAATCTCGCTGGCATTTGGTGAATTTGTGAAAATTTATTGGCATTTGGTGAATTTTAAAAAATTCAGTGGCATTTGGTGAAATCGCCGAATTGATTATTGTACTTAGCTTGCAAAAAAAAATTCTAATTTTTTGAAAATATTGATGAGAATAATCCCAATTATTTTCAATATGTCCAATAAAAAAAAAATTTCATCCAAACTATAGGGGTGAATGGGTCATTTTCAAAATATTCCGTGGTTTTATGGAACTACTTTAGCAAGTCATTAAATAAAATTTTTCTTTAATTAATAATTAAAAGTCCCCCGTCATCAACAATACAAAATAGAACTCGTTTGCAAATGCTTTCATGAAATTCAAAATCGTATCTAAGTAGTCTAAATTGATAATAACTTTCTAATATTATACATAGAAATGATAGAATTGGAACATGTTAAGCTATTTAGTTAGATTTAGTTACAAGTGTTTGATGAGAATAACAAACTTAACATTTTGTCAAATGTATTGATGAGAATTGTAAACTTATCGTTTTGTCAAACATGTACAAATTATAATGGAATTTTTCTACCTAGAGTTGACTATCTATTGAGAGAAGCTATTGTGTGCGGATGTCCGCATGCAAATTTTCATGTGGATGTCTGTGTACAAATTTCCGTGTGGCTGATATATTTCATTTGTTGGCTGATATGATTTTTATGTTAACTAATATATTTTTTTTTGTTGGTGGATATATTTTTTTTAATTTTTGATAGGTTCCTTTTGTTGGCTGATATCAGACATCATTTGGTTTATATGTTTCTTTAGTTGGCTGATATATTTATTTTGTTGGCTGATATGTATATTTTAATTGTTGGCTTATATGTTTCATTTTGTTGGCTGATATGTTTATTTTGTTCATGTTGCTTTTGTTTGCTGATTTCATCCTTTTGTTGGCTGATATGCATCCTTTGTTGGCTGATATGTTCCTTTTGTTAGCTGATAAGTACCTTTTGTTGGCTGATATATTCCTTTTATTGGCTGATACGTTTTTATTAATGTCTTTAATGTTGACTGATACAAAATATTAATTGGCTGATATATTACTTGTATTAGCTGATGTACAAAGTATATACAAATACAAACTATTTTAATTTCATTCTCTCTCCTCTTTCCCCATCTTCCTCTTTTTCTTTCTCTCTCCTGTTAGCAACTTCTCAAACACGCCCCTCACTCCCTCTCCTTCTTCTTCAACCACTGAACTCAAGCCACCTCACCCACAAACCACCGAATCCAGGCCACTGCACCCACAAAAGCATCGAACCTAGGCCACCACACCCACAAACCACCGAACCCACCAACCAATCGACCACCAATTGACCACCAATCACAAGCAAATCAGCCCCTTAATTTCCAGCCACCAAAACCCGCATCCCCACAACAACCACCTGCAACCAATCTTCCATGTCATGGTGGCCCGATCTTCCATGTCCATTATCGCCGATCATCTTGACCCAGAACTCACGGTGGCCCGATCTTCCATGTCCAGAACTCATGGGGGGCAGAACTCACTGTTCGACTTCGATTTGTTTGCATGTGATGGCAGAGGAGAAAGAGGTTCACTTTTCTTCTGAATAGCGAAAAACGGTGAATGGCCGCACAAACCATTGGGTGCGGAGGTCCGCACCCAATAGTTGGGTTCTAATTTCCTATGACTTAATAAAATAATGGAGCATTTTTTTTCTCAAAAAAGAAAAATAAAAAAATAGAAAAATAATGGAGCATTTTTCGACTAAGGTGTTGTTGGTTGTCTGGTCCTAAAATGCTTAGAAACTCTGACTTGGTAAGTTTGATCGTATTATTTTAATTTCTTTGGATACATGAGGAGAAGACACCCTACCCCTCTTAGGCTACCATGCTGGTATGTCACACAAGTTAAAATTTCTCGAGTTAACAGGTAAGGCTTTTTGATTGTACGTAGGAAGAAAGGGTAAGGAAATACTCCGCCCCAAAATTTCTCTAGTAGGAGATTAATCAAATTTACAATATCTAACTTCTATAAACTAGACCAAATACTTACTTGGTGACGTGAAGCGTTAATCATAGTTAGGATTAATTTTGTCAATTTTTTTGAAATACATGAATTACAGGTATTTATAATGAAAAAATGAATGGTAGTTTGGTTAAATTGTTTAACTGACTTAGGGTTTAAGGTTGACCTATATTTGAAAATAAGCCCAATGAAATATCTTGGCTTGGCTCGGTTCATTATCATCTTATTCATTGTCAAGGTATTTGGAGCCCTCTAATTCTCTATGCCAACCACTCCACCATTCTCCACCCCTTTCTTTGGCAACCACTACAACATTCAAGCTCCCTTTAAGAGTTGTTCCGAGGCAACCAAGTGTTCAAGGCTAATTCATTTTTTTTTTTTTTTTTTTTTTTTTTTTTGAAAAAAATAATTCAAGGCTAATTCTTAGTTACGAGTATTTTAAATTAAGAGATGTGATTTTTTTTTAATTTTTTTTATTTTTACTACTATAACTTTCTTTGACTTTTAATTGTAACATTGAAATTTCATGCTTGTCATTGCATGCACATTTTATACCATTAAAGTATGTGATTATTTTTAAACGCGGAAAATTGAAAGACAATCATATTACTTTCAATGAAAATTCTACAATGTCATTCTTTAAAAATGACACTACAATTTGTTGATGTGGCAAAATCTGATTGGCCTATATTTAGTATTTTTATTTTGAATTATTTTTAATATTCATAAATGTATTAAAATTGTATTTTTTGTAATTTTTTAATACATGTATTTTTTTAGAAATACACAATTATAAATTATGAAAATCTATTTTTTTGTAATATTAATTAATTTTTGAATTTATAATTATAATTTAAAATCGTTCTTCAAAAAAATAAATTATAATTAAAAATCACAAAATTAAAATCGTTTAACATTGTTCTAATTGTTCAACAATCGTTCATCATTGTTCATATCGTTCATTATTGTTCATATTGTTCATCAATGTTCTTCAATCATGTCATAGATTAGCCCCTATTCCCAAAATCAATGTTAGTTCTTAGTTGTTGATGAATTCACAAATCCAGACTAAATTGGGATAAAAATTCGTAAACAAATTGTGTTTTTTGCAGTTTTTGATTTTAAGTTTTCGTTCATAAAAATATCTCAACAACAATCTCATTTATAAGTATTTGCAAAGGACAAATTCCGCTTTGAATGGTTCGAAAATACGATTTTTGTGGACTCAAATTGTGTAATTTTGTCAAAGAACAAGGAGTATCAAGTTTGTATGTAGAAGATAAAGTGGTCGCATATTTTTACCTACCGCAACCCTTGTTTGATCCGATAAATGTAATTAAGTTTTCTCGAACTTGTTTGCGGGTTAGGTAATGACTTAAACTATGTTTGGTCATTACATAGAAAAACAATGTTTT